ATTCCTGCGACCTTCGATATTTTCGCACGGAGGCTTGCAAGGGTGTACGTATGTCTAATTCGCGCAAACGATTTCGTGCTTCTTCGAGCGAATGTAAAACGCGATCGCGATTAATTTCATACAGACTGCACTCACTATAAATTAAAGAACATCGAGGGCGAGAGGATTAAATCCGGGGGAGTTCTCATTGCTGTTGAAACTAGTTTCAGGAGGAAAACGATTGTATCATACGAAATGAAATTACACTTAATTCGCGGTTGTCACGAACAGTTTTCACCAATTCGCTGAAATACCCGGTGTTAAGACTCTCGTGTGGGTTGCGCGTAACGCAGAGTTCCTAATTAGGGCCAATTTCTACGGAGACAATTCATCCATTACTCGCGCAGCTTTCAAAATAATACGCTCTTAAGGTTTTCATTCCTTTCTTCCCGAGCCGTTCCAGCAGACGTACTGTTACGTTCAATGTAATACTGTTACGTTGGCTGCTTCTTCGAGAATTCGCTCGCTCGAACGAACGACTCCTGGTGGTTCGTCGGTCGCAGAGCCGTACACGATATGAAAATACAATTTCCAGCAGTAGACGAAGGCACGATCAAACGTGGATATACGTTGAATCGTCGATACACTTAAAAATAGTCCGCGTTTTCCGGTTATCATTTGCAGCAGGAGGAATCTATACCGTACTCTGTCGCGTGTCGAGAATTTGGCGTATGGTGCTATTTTTGAAGTTAAACGAGGTATTCGAAGCACACGTAGGAGGAACGATCTCGTGCCTTTTCGTAGCACGCGTCGCTGAGGGGACCAGCGTTTTCTTTCCCGTGCAAGGTTTCACAGCGAGGATAAACGCGAAACAGATTCCGTGGGATCGCACGAAGAGGCCTCGGAGGAATCACGTTTTTCACACGGCCGGTCTGTCGAACGAGCAACTGGCATTTAACACTGACAGAGCAATGCTGCGAGATAACTCGCGAGGAACCTCGTAAGACTAAAGGTCTGACCTGCGTGCCATTTGCCCGATAGTTGTGCGAAGAAGCGCGATGATAGACCTCTTATCAGCCTCGAGTCTCTGCGGGGGAGTCTCGCGGCAAATTCCGCTGCCGGTTTTGTTTTCTTCCTTTAATGCCGTAATCGTTTTCTTCCACTGTTTTCACGGCTTAGAATCAGTGTACCGATCAATCGCGACTGACGTTTCACGTTTCTACCGATCGACTTATGACGGGACAATCGTGAGATCGCGGCTCGATAGGTGGAGGCAAAGATAGACGGAAAAGGGGAGAAATATTTGCCGCAGCAGGCAAAGGATGCGATTACGAAACGTACGCGAGCATGCTCGCACAAGGTGATGCATCCGATGTAACGCGTGTACAAAAACGTATAGCGGTTCTTGCCTCGCGCTCGAGCAACTTACTTGGAATTTTGCTGATTTTCCGGCGATGGTGCTTCTTGCTTGAACACCGTCAACGATGGCAGCGCAAGCAGGGCTTCGCTGTAAACAAATTTCAACCGATTACGTGCCTTTTCCTTTTCATTTACAATCTCGCGATAAAGCGCCATCTTCGAGACGGCAAGGAGGAAATGGAGCCTGACCTCTTCACGGATACGAGACTTTTCTTACATTGCCTAATACATTTTTAACCAGCTGCATACTTAGCAATCGTGTTTAGTCTTAGCCATGTACTCTTACGAAATGCCATTAAAATCGATTTAGGTCTACGATCGGAGGATGTTGTATCCGATAATAACCAATAGATTCTGGTTTTTGCTATCGACGCTCATTGATTAGTGTCTCGTGACGCAAGCAGCTAACAAACGATCGTGAATAATCTATTCGGAACGTTCGTTAACGTTATTCCTTTCTATTTTTCTATTTTTTCGCCTCTTAACGTCGAATCAATTACGGTAAGATGTTTCAACAGAGAAGAAAAACAATGTGAAAATATATCACGTGACTTTCGATACGATTTTTTAAGTTCGACGATTACCTTTGATCCCTCGTAAGCAAAAATCGTGAAAAAGATATTGTTATCCTTGTATACATAACGATGCTCATCTATCTCTCGCAATTTACTTAAAGATAAAAGATTCACCGTCAGACGAAATCCAGCGCAAACCGGAAAGAAGTTACGGCGACTTACATAAACCATATTTTATGAGAGTTAAGGAAAAAAAAAGGGAATATCAGATACTCTCATTTCTGTTAGTTTATCTCGCACTCGCGTAATCGTTCGATCGAGAATTCGTACGCCGAGGATCAGATCTCGTTTTAATAGTCGTTACACCGTACAGAGTCGGAACTATCGAGAGAAGTATAATAACGATAAATTAATTGGCGTTTCTCGGGACCTCTGCAATACACCTTAATTGTTGAGACGGAACAAAGAATGAAAGAGTAGCTTGAGAACCGCTATGATAAGAATTGAGTCACTAAGGTCAACCAAAACCGGAACGTACCGGTTCGCAAATGCAGCGAAATTAATATCAGCTACCGACGAAGTATCACGATAAGGTAGTACCAAAAATACAGTACAAATTAGTCTTATAAATTAGAAGTTTTCCTGGATCGAAACTGACGGTAACAATTTAATGCTTTAACGCTACCTAACGATACAGATCATGCCACAAGTCGGAAAATACGAAACGAACGAGAAAGGATATTGCCTTTTGGCGTTGATCCACGAAAGAATCTACGCGTGAAATCAAAATTACGTTATAACGGAGTAATTCTGCAAAGCTTCTTTCGATCACTCACCTATTTTTCAAATACTGATGCATGATTCCGGTACTCGAAACTTAAATTCGATCTCGTTCCTTTGTGAACGTCCAACGATTCCACAGACACTATCTAAATTTGTCCAGATACGCTTATCGACATTGTTACAATCGAAGGCTACTTTAAAAAATTATTTTTCGACACAGGCTTCATACAAACTGCACACACTGTTGCACAGAATCACGTACACGCGACGGTTTCGAAATACTCCAGCAGAAAATCGCACGCGAGGGAATAGAAAATTAATTCACGCACAATTAGTTCGGAACGTGAGGAATAACTGGTTTTCCATTCGCGAGAGATTCCAGAGTTTAATCTGCATATCGAGATATCCGTTTTTTCCGAGTTTTTCATTCATGAATTGTCGAAAAACCGTGGCGAAATTTTAATAGGATGAAACGCGCGGTACCACGCGTGAAGTGACTCTATCAGCTGATTCTTGACCGTGGTTCTTGCTGCTTCTCGCACAGTGAACGCTAATCCGAGGAACGCGTGTTATCTAACACTGAAAGCCTCGAATGGCTCGTGCATTGCTTTCTGTTCCTCCATTCCGCGTTTTTGGAAGCCATAGAAAATTCGTTCAAAGTACCTATCTAGAATTGGACCTTGATCCGAAGATGTTTCGTTGAGCAACAATTTCGGTGAGCATGTTAGTGCTTGATCTACGATTTATCATCGATGACAACGGAAACAATTAGTTACAAGATTGGAGAGACTAACGAAAACTTGTTTCGAAATGCATTTCTCACGATTCAGTGGAACATAGAGCGAATAGAAGCAAGAATTGTTCAGATACGAAAAGAAAATCTCGGATAGATTTCACTGAACGTGACACGCAAGTTTTGGCAAACTCTGAGACGGATGTAAAAGGCTTGCTGATAAAAATGATACAATTGATTCCGGGATGGAACGCACGTGCCCGTACGCGCGGACACTCGCTAAGTGTCTAAGCGTCTGCAACCGGCGTGATTTCCCAGCGTATGCAGTTCAGGCCTCGAAACATCGACAACTGTGTCTGGTTTCAACCGGATTTCTGACTCGACATTCTCGTTCCCACTACCGTCCACGTTTTAATCGAGATTCGATCCACTCTTGCACATGGCTCTCTAGGGAAACCTACTTTATCGGCTTCATGTTCGTGCTTCATGCTTGAATAACGAAATCCTTCGTGATCGACCATCGGTCGAGTTTCAACGAAGATCCAAGTATTCTTTTAACTAAAAAAAGCGAATTCTTTTGCACACTGGAAGACTATAACGAGACTGGTAAAGGTATTTTGGAAGAGAGGGTACCTTATCCTATTTCAGGTCCATTTCCTCGCCTCCCGGACTCGAGTTTATCTCGACTGATCTCTTCGACGAATATTTCGCTCTCGGGAAATTTATATTTACCTCATGTTATAGGAGGCAACGGCTGTCGCGAGATCGGATGCCGCGAGTGCCGACAGGGACCCATCGAAATCGACGGCAAGGTGTTCTGCCAGCTCCTCCACTTGCGTTGACCATCCATGTCCAGAACCATTATTCCCGACAGATCCTGCAAGTACGAGGCAATTGAAATTATTCGCGTTTCACGATCGTCCCGCTGCCAGAGAAAATTCCATCCTTTGCTACAGAAAAGCCGAAGCTGATTCTCTAATGTACAACATCCTATCTTTCCCAAATCCCATTTCGTACAACCTTGCGTATTAGCATAATTGAAGAAAAACTGATGGTGCATCGCGCCGATCCTAGACTTGGTGTCCTGAAGAGCCATGACTGCGTTTCGTCGTCGACTCTTCGAACTTAGGGCAGGATATTGTCGACTATGAAGTAACGGAAACTTGGCGCTATCGACTTCACACCACTTCATTTTACCTTTCCGCGAGGAGATGAAACGAGATAGCACACTCGAAGAAACACCAGCAGATTTAAAGCGACGCGTGTGCACCTTCGCGTAGTTCTCTCGGATCGAGAACTAGTATCGGCTTCTTCTCTCTCTTTCCTCGAGTGGACTTAATCTGCGATACACTGTGTACTCTGGAGTTATCAGTTTCCCTAACCACGTGGTCAAAAAGGCGTCGAACAGAGGCTACACGACACTTTTCGTGAATCAGTCTCGAGACGTTCCTCGGAGCAGCATCTCCTCCGATATGGGCCCACGAGCGTGGCCATTTTGTCAGGAAGACGAGGGTCACACGTCGGACGGAGGTTCGACCAAGTGGTACCCTCGATTTCCGACTTAACCGAGATACATTCCACGCGACGCAACGCTGGTAATTCGATAAGAGAATCTCGTTTCGAGAAATGTCCAAAGTATCCGACGACTTGTGCAGAACGAACGGAATTCTTGTGAACCACACGGATAATTAGTGTCTTCTTCGAGTACGTTCAAGTTATATCTCTATCCGACACTCGACGATTCGTAAAATCGTGACTGGACAGAGTGGAGGAAGATTTACGAATCTTCGGTGGCTACGACAGTGTATTCGAGGTCCTCGGCACGACCTTTCGAACGATACGCCTATAACGAGAGCTGTACGATAGCAACGACGATGACGCAGTGGAAGACTGAAATATTCATTAAAAAGCCGGAAAGCGGGATAGGAAACCTAGGAAGGAAATCACGTTCTATGATTATTTATGTCTGTGAAACGACGAGTGAATAAACGAGAAGAAAAGCGAACTGGATGGAATTTACGAATTTCAACAGTTCCAAGTATACTAACCGTCTCTCCTAGCATGCTTCTTCTCGAGTTCTGTAAGTTGGGACAATGGCTCTCCGGCTCGACGTTTCAGGGTGCTCTGCTGGCAATTGGGACTGTTATCGGAAGACGGGCTGAGATGTTGGGGTGATTCGCTGCTGGAACGTATCTGGACATCGTCCTCTGGAGAATCCTTGGGTGAGTTGTACTTATCCTGCCATAAAGAATTTTGAGGACTGTGATATCCCATTGATGCCTATAAAACGTTTGATCATCGTCAGTTGACGGGACGAATCGCGCGGAGCTTCACGGACCCGCCCGGAGGACTACAACACGCTATCACTGCGACACGATTTCGAAACGCGTGTTGCACACGTATAGATCGGCCGTGACACGTCTGCTACGAGAGCACAGTGCGAGAAGAAAGAAGAAAGTTGGTCGATAGCGTTAGTTATTAACGATGCGAACACGGCCAACTTTTTCCCTCGGCGAGTAAATGAAAACGAGGATCGTGAAGCGTCGCGTTCAACGCATACCAACGAGATTGATAGCGCTATCCGAAGGAAAGAAGATCGTGAAACTTACATGCTGAGTGGCGATGGGGTCACATCTGTTTTGACGAACCGGGGACAGCTGTTCGTACGGTGGTGACGGAGTATTGGGAAACCATATCGTTCCATTCAAAGCATCTGCACCGCCGTCCATGATGAATTCAAGCTCCATTCAACGACTCGAAATCTCGAAGCACTCGTACTGGGATTTGTTTCTCAGGGTACACTACCTTTCGGAATATCGACCGTTTCGATCCTAATCACGATTCTATTCGCCCTTACTGTTCGAGTGCTCAAAGATACTTTGGAGAACGCTTTGGTAGCCTATCCGGAAGAGAAGACTATAAGTCCGAGCTTGTTAAAAGACCAACGATCATTCGTTCAACGATGAAATTTCAGGATCAACCGGGACTCGAGGACTACTCTTTTCTATTTTCTAAACGTTAATACACATCCTGCGGCTGATAATTTTCCCAGTTCTTTTTCTTTTCTCTCTTTTCTATCGCTTCGTTTCCCTCGTTCCACTTGATTTTTCTGCTTTTTTTTTTTTTTTCGTTTAACCAAAACGTCCTCCTTTTTTGTGCGTTCTCCGCGATTTTTTCCTTCAGGATCGACGAGGATCTTGAAAGTACACGGTGCATCACTCGACCACCGTCTACGAAGGGCCGAACTTCCTTAAGGAAGAGCTATCCTTAGAACATTACGAAGAAGCTGTTATACAATTTCTTGATACCAGTTGTTTCGCGTTGCCGGTGCGTTTCCAAGAGTGCGCAACCCCGCGACTTGAGGGACAGAAACCGTGAAAAGACGACAAAAGCGTCTTCGAATACCATCGCCACACCTTGGCTGCAACGCATTTTGTTATTATTTTCCTTGAAGATCTGAAAGCTCCGCGAAAGGACAACGGTCTGCTGCTCTCTCTCTCTTTCTCTCTCTCGCTCTCTTTCTTTCTCCCGTCGAATATATTCTCGATTTGTCAAACGGAAAATTCCACGAAATGGAAGCTGTAGGTTCGAACGAAACTCGTCACTGGTTAATTAGACGAAACGGGGCTTTGATAGATCGGCTGTCGTTTCGGGACAGAAATTCGTTTCGTTGTAATAAATGAAAAAGGATCGTTGCCCTTAGCGAGTGTCACTGGACACGTAAAATATATTTCGATTTGCTTTTTCTAACGACTATGGCTCACACCACTTGATAGTGTCTCGATAATCGAAGGCCTTCGCCTATCACGTCGTCACCACATTTTCAGGATCCTTCGTTCCATGATGCCGACGGAAAGATAAATCTGATCCAGAAGAAGGAGACGAGGCTTCGTGGCGTAAAACCAAATGGAATGTTTTTCGTTCTTCGATGCTCCTCAAAGTCCTTTCCGCGCGAGGAAGCGACGAATCTTTGGGAAAAGTCAGCCAGAAATGTCCTCTTGGCCGGATACCGAATACACGAAGCTCCCTTCGGGAGTCGACCGAGTAGTCTCTCTCCTCGATATTTCTCGGCGATAAATCGAGATCAAGATCTTTCGAAGAGCAGCAGCCAGTAAATCTGAGCCATTCAACTGGTAATCGAGACTTGGCACGCTATTCGAGGTATACTTTTATCGCGCGTTGTCAAATAAACCGGCTGTACTCGATCACTTCCTCCAGTTTTCAGGCTAACGATGAGAAGAGGGAACTTTCGGCAAGGCCAATCTTCCTTCGACGAACCAGTCGCACAGCGGACCAAATGCCTCCCGACTTCCTGATACAATTGCTTCCTTTGTATTGTTCTGCTTGATTATCTTTATGAGCTCGGTGCTACCGTTGACCGACTTAAACCAACTGAGACAAACTGGACGGGCGAATGTCTGTTGGATCTCTACCCTTGCGAACGACGACGACGGACAGCAAATTACGCGACACTGACGACGTTAAAAGTTTTGAACCGAATGCTCCGGCGATGTCTTCTGTCTAAGAACGATCTGGGTATCTGATCCAATCGCGACCGCCGGTATTAAAAGGCTGACCAATAGTGTCTACGCTGGAGGGTCGACCCGACCGTCAATTGGAACCACTCAGTGTTGATGAGCAAAATGTGACTTGCTTTACCTTGTAAAATCGTGCCGCATTTGGTCACGTAGCGAATTCGAATTTCGATTAATACCTGACCTGTCCCGCTTATCCAACCACCGACCAAATGTCGTCGAACTTTTTCGGAACCGAGTAACCCTGGGTCAAACTGGCTGATCCACGGTGATATATAGTTTCGCTCGCGTCTCTGTGCTTATTCGAGACGACGATTTTCTACGCTTACGAGCAGTTCGACTTCGCGAGCAGTTGCGTCGTAAAAGATGCCTGTTTGCCACGTGGATTAATTATTTTCCGAGACGTTATCTCTAACTTGGCGAAGTATGTTTTCGTTGCTAAGCTTCCAACGAGATCGCAAGAATCGAAAGGAAGTATTTTTTCTTTGCTTTTCCCTTTGTTTTCGACTGGAACACAGCCGGACAAGCGAGAAACGTGAAAGAGGATTTCGATGGAGTTCCGGTTGACGTTATTAGAGCCACGTGCCAGCCGGTGCAACGAAGGACGTGGAACAACTGCTCGTCGTTACTAGAGCTTCTTGCAGCTACGCGAAAGTGTATTTGAACAGAGATTCTGGAGGATTAGACGAAGACGATTTATCATAGTCTTTCCATTTCGTTGTACGAACTTCCACAGACTGCTCTGTGACAGCAATCCTTAAATTTTCAGGTTGTCGTTCGTAAAGCTTCGTCCCAGAAAATCGACGAGACAAATTAATATCGCAGAAGCAGAACCTGAAACAACAAAATTAATATACGTCCACGGAACAGGTGTACCGAGGCGTCTAGGAAACTTTCCACGAACGTCAACTCTGCGCACGATCGAATACGTTTCTATGGATCACTTTTATTTAGAAAGATCTTAACCGTGCCGCGCTTTATCGCGTTTGGCGTAAAAGCTCGTTTCGATTCAAACATTCGACGGAAAGTTTAGTTCACGCGAGATGGCCCACCGATAGTAGCAGCATTCCGCGGCAAAGACACGAGCCAAGTTACGAAGAAGCGCCACTCATCCTGTTCGTCGACTGAGCAACAAATCGTCGTGCTTCCTAATTCCCTGTACCATCATTTTCTCCCAAGCATCTTCCACTGTTCTCCGCATCTTTGCACGTACATCCGTTCAGCAAAGCTGGCCACAGCTCAACGGGGTTAGACGTCTGAAGTTTCGTTGATTGAAGTTAATCCGCGAGGTCATTGTTATACGCGCTACTCGCTTCCACGCAAATTAAACCGTGTGCGTGTCTTGTACAGGAAAGCTCCGCAGAACTACGAGGGTATCTTCGTATCAACGACACTCGCACGTCATGTCCGACCACTCCGCGACCGCGGAAAGGAACCCTGCCGAGGAGGAGACTTTCGACCACGTTTCCACTGATCCCGCGAGATCAACGACCACCGTCCACGAATTGCTTCGCGACCTTGTCTCGTGCTACCGCGAACAATTCTTCGTGCTTTCAATCAACGAGATTATTCGTTCGCCAGGCAACTATTCGTTCTACACGAAATAATAGACTCGCGTCAACCGTGCAACTATTCTCAACGTCTTCCTTAGCGATAAAGGGAATTTGCGTGCCGTTCTCATTCATCTCGGCAATTTCTATTGCAATTTTACAACACGGTAATTCGTCTTTCAACGAGCGAGTATTTTTCACGCCTGACGTAATACTTTGAAGAAACTGCTTTAATTAATCAACCGCGAATTGCCTCTAAGCGAAATTTCCTTCTTACGAACGTTAAATTTGTCCATCGAACGGCCACCGAGAGCCAAATGAAACGGAGTTAGAGCGGTTTTTATACCGATTCACTGGAAGAACGTTGCGACGTCTAATCAGCTTTAATTCGAACGGTACCGAAGCAAAAGTATTCGAAAAAATGATTTTTATGATCGTTCCACGTTGGGAACGCGTGGTTGTGTAATAGACGTAAGTGTTAACTCGTCGCGTAGACGAAGGAGCGTAGCAGCAGCCACTAGTAGAGACCTCTATTTCTGCAAATTATACTAAGACACCAAGGTCGTTCATATATCTGCCTCATAATGGACGAACGCACGTCCGAACCACGTGTAAGATCTTCTGCGCCGCCTGCTTTTGATTGAAATTATAAACCGGTTGCTACATCGATGTTATAGCATCGCGACTCCACTAACTTACTTCCCGACAATGCCAAGGGCGAATCTTTCGTGAATGTCATTATCGAAGGTTAAGAAAGAAAAATCACGACCGTGTTCGTCGAATCGCAGCGAAACACGCGGGATCGCTTTCGATGCTTTTAATTTTCCCAAAGATACAAACAGCCCGCGATTCTCCTCTGCGCTTCCACGATCTTCGTTATTCGCTGTTCCGCGAATAGTTGCTCGTTAGAAAATTACGATCAATTGTTGCGGATATACCGTGTGAGTCAATTCGTATTTCTGTGCTCGATGTTTCGTAGCGCTTGTCGACATTCTTGCTCCAGAACGCCACTCCAAACTTGATACCGATGATTCAACCCAGGTATAGCGTGCAACACCGTCTTGGACCCCAACACGCCTGTATTCTCGTTAGGAATCCCGTAAAATATCCTCAGAACCCTGGAATGCAAGAGTGCCATGGCGCAAAGAGGACAGGGCTCCATCAGCAGAAACGCCCAGTACCCTGTGCACAAATAGGGACCACACTTTCCCGCGTTTCCCATTTCTTCCGATTTAGCCTTCGCAGGGTCGTTATTCCTACGTCCTCGTCGAACCACAGCAGTGTTCAGAGGCTCTTCCTCTGGAAGATTAATTTTCGACAGCGAAGTTGGATAATAAAGCGGAGCCTCCTCTGTGTACTTCCTCTTTATCTTTCTTTCCCTGGCTACATAGTCCTCCGTTTCTCTTTCGTTAACAGGCTCTGCCGTTTTCGACTCGCTGGTACTCTGTTCCGACTTTTCTTCCAATTTCCAAGCACCACCACCCTGAAGCCTGGCAACGAGATCCACGGCTAGCATAGCTGCGTGCCACATCGGATGCTGATCGATTTTGGAAGCTGCGATCGCGAGGATCCTCCCATCCTCTGGGTCAACGATCACGGCGCTGCCGTTGCAATTCCGATCGCCGACAGCTTCTAATCTCGCTGTCTCCACCACGACGATCATATACCTCTCTATCAGGTCTAATTGATGTTCCGTGAAAACCGATCCATCGATCAGACTCTCGATATTAGGATCCGGATGAAAGTTCAAGGGCCAAATGCTCGACGCCCGCGCTGCTTGTGCTTTCGTCTTCACTGCTTTCGCTGGTACCTTTAAAATCTGAAAATCATCCTCCAACAGAGACAGATCGAATCCTCCGTCCCTTAGCAGCGTTCTCAATTTGTCCGCAGTCAAAGTGTCGCATTCCTTGGTTTCCTGCTAACAGTTCCGCGGAATTTAACGGTGCCAATAGCAGCCTCTGCGAGAAGCAGCGTTTGAGATGATGGAAGCCCGGCAGAATGGGTGCGATACACTGAATCGCAGTCGAGATGTCCCTTTTCTGCTTAAGCAAACCCACGTAAACATCCTCGAGAGGTGGGTCGTCCGTGATGTCAGGGCTTAAGATCGGTCTTGCTACCCAACTTCTAGTCGACATTTCCACTTTGCTCTCCTTGCTGCACTTGTGCGAGGTGATCGCCATCTTCCCTGAAAAGACGGTGCCTTCACTTTTCGTCGGTTCATCCTCATCGATCTGTACGAAGCTCTATCTTCTGATACTTTTAACATAACGCTTCCTCTGACTTTCCGATCGGTAATATTCGCTGATTTTACAGAGAAATGCATCCGCGTGCTAAGAAAGGCGGAAGAAGGTCTAGAACAAAAACGTTTCGTGGGAGAATGGTTGTTCGTGGCGGTGCACTTGGTACAGCTCACAGGAGAAGTGATTTTAAATTGCTGTCAAGTTGGGCCACGGTCGGATCGATTGTCGGAGTTAGGCGCAATTGTACGACGTCGATCCACGAACAGAAGAAATAAGGTCTTTGTTGCCACGCCGTCCCGATCCTGCGACCATCGCTTTCCAGTTTAAACGTGAAACCTGCGGATGGAACGGTAACGACACACCGTCGTGAAATGTTACGATATTTGCCTGGTTTCATGGACAAGTCCAACTGCTGGCACGAATCGTGGGCTTGGGCCACCGAATGACCCACAAAATATTCGCAACGCGAGCTCGGAATTCCATGAAATTAACGGGGCCGTTAAAAACAAGACAGAAAACTACGACAGGATTTGACGGGAACTGACGCGAGAGATCGGGAAAATATTTGTTAACGCTGTGTATCGTATCGTATTATCAGGCGGACAAGATATCGTGTAAAATAGGTCTCGTGACGAGACGATGCAGCTCGGTGAAATACCCGTTGAAAATGCGACAGATGCTTCTTCTCATGCAAAATTGAATCGACGCGATTGATCGGTATTCGTCTAATAAACGTAACGTTAACATAATAATGGCCGTTATTGACAATCGGCGAAGGAGTAACATCGGGTATCGGAAACGTGATTCGTCGGTGCTGCTTGGGAAGTCACATCTTAAAGCGTATTAACTGACCAGCGGGAGGAAAATATGCCATGGTCGGATGTTCTGTGAATGGATAAATGAGTGGACAGGACAGATTAAATTATAAAACGTTCATAGCGTAATAGCGTGCCGCGGATACGAGGTTATTGTTAAAGATGGTTTGGAAGCCCGGCAGAATGGGTGCGATACACTGAATCGCAGTCGAGATGTCCCTTTTCTGCTTAAGCAAACCCACGTAAACATCCTCGAGAGGTGGGTCGTCCGTGATGTCAGGGCTTAAGATCGGTCTTGCTACCCAACTTCTAGTCGACATTTCCACTTTGCTCTCCTTGCTGCACTTGTGCGAGGTGATCGCCATCTTCCCTGAAAAGACGGTGCCTTCACTTTTCGTCGGTTCATCCTCATCGATCTGTACGAAGCTCTATCTTCTGATACTTTTAACATAACGCTTCCTCTGACTTTCCGATCGGTAATATTCGCTGATTTTACAGAGAAATGCATCCGCGTGCTAAGAAAGGCGGAAGAAGGTCTAGAACAAAAACGTTTCGTGGGAGAATGGTTGTTCGTGGCGGTGCACTTGGTACAGCTCACAGGAGAAGTGATTTTAAATTGCTGTCAAGTTGGGCCACGGTCGGATCGATTGTCGGAGTTAGGCGCAATTGTACGACGTCGATCCACGAACAGAAGAAATAAGGTCTTTGTTGCCACGCCGTCCCGATCCTGCGACCATCGCTTTCCAGTTTAAACGTGAAACCTGCGGATGGAACGGTAACGACACACCGTCGTGAAATGTTACGATATTTGCCTGGTTTCATGGACAAGTCCAACTGCTGGCACGAATCGTGGGCTTGGGCCACCGAATGACCCACAAAATATTCGCAACGCGAGCTCGGAATTCCATGAAATTAACGGGGCCGTTAAAAACAAGACAGAAAACTACGACAGGATTTGACGGGAACTGACGCGAGAGATCGGGAAAATATTTGTTAACGCTGTGTATCGTATCGTATTATCAGGCGGACAAGATATCGTGTAAAATAGGTCTCGTGACGAGACGATGCAGCTCGGTGAAATACCCGTTGAAAATGCGACAGATGCTTCTTCTCATGCAAAATTGAATCGACGCGATTGATCGGTATTCGTCTAATAAACGTAACGTTAACATAATAATGGCCGTTATTGACAATCGGCGAAGGAGTAACATCGGGTATCGGAAACGTGATTCGTCGGTGCTGCTTGGGAAGTCACATCTTAAAGCGTATTAACTGACCAGCGGGAGGAAAATATGCCATGGTCGGATGTTCTGTGAATGGATAAATGAGTGGACAGGACAGATTAAATTATAAAACGTTCATAGCGTAATAGCGTGCCGCGGATACGAGGTTATTGTTAAAGATGGTCATTAGACGAATGATAATTTTATTATGCATCGCGGTGAAAGAGCGCAACGATCCGGCGAAATTTATTCAAAGTTGTCGAGAGAGGAACATCGGTGTGAAAATGTACGATTTATAAGCAAACGTTACGTAAAAGCGGAATTCCATGTATTTCTTCCCCTAATTTCTTCCCAACGCGAAAAATTCTGCACGAACGGACGAATAGAAAGCATACAAAATCAATATGAAAGCATTAGAAACGTTTATGCAAAATTTGAAGCGACTCGGAGTGTGTTATAGCAAGCGTTGTATTCGACGACGGTAGAGGGAAGTTAAATTTCGCGCTCCGTTACGTCAACAAAGATGGTGGTAGCACATTCGTGCAAAGCGTGTTCCTTATATAACGTAAAAGGAACAACAAGCAAGCTCGAGTGACGCAGCACACGCAAACGTAAACTCGCTAGGCGAATGCACTCGACGAACGAGGCGGTCGACACAATCAATGCAGACTCGTAAATAAGTTCTAATCGATTTAAACGTCGCGATTTCCTTCGGTCAAAGATGTACATTTTTTAATGGGTTCTGTTCACGTGCCAATATGTCTTCCCTGGCCTTGAATCGAGACATGACACGCGTGTCCCGCATCTTTCGCGCTTGTCAAACAAAACAAACCGATTCGATGGAAAAAGGCGAGGCATGCGACGAAAGAAGCGGCACGACCGTGACACACGACCGCGTGTGTGTACTTTCTACGCGAGCAATGCTAAAAACCATGAAAATTCTTACCTGCTGCTGTGAATGCACGTTCCAACGCCTGTTTTTAGCCTGATTCTTTCTCACAACGACGAACAAGTGTATCCTTGTCAGCCACACCTCGTACACTTTTCGATGTCTTACACTCAACCCGCGACACACAAATAGCACGGAAACGCACGTGAAGATACCCGCGGAGACGAACGTTTACAGGAGGACGACTTATACCTTTCGAGATTACCAGTTATCGGCGCTACTGACGCACCCTCTGTCGGCCGTTAGTGTAAGCTGGCGACTGGAGGAAGGGAAGCACGACCGCACCACGGCTCCGTCTTTTTTTTTCTTTCTCTCTTTTAATCATTTTTTAATCTCGTTAACTACACGACATATAGGTTATCTTATACTGCCGCCGATACGAA